AAAATTCAATAATTCCGCTGTGAACGTAATAGCCCACGGAGAGGGAGAGAGAGAGACAGAGAGGGGCCGGGGCGGGCACATTTTATGCGCTGCAGCCAGATGCTGGGGCGGTGGCCCGGGGCCAACGGGAGGGAAGGGCCGGGCTGCGCGGCGCGGCGCTGGGTGCAGGTGTCCCGCACCGCCTTCTCTAGTTAACGCAAACGATCGCGGGAACACAACTTCCAAAGTTGGTATTTTGGTATAATATTGTCAAGAATATTGTCAGTTGCAAGAAAATAAAACGTAGGGAAATTGCTGTTATACTAGAAAAAAGTGTATATTAGATCACCACAAGATCCGAGATTTTTTGGTGAATAATTGCCGTTTAGAGAAAGTATTGTATTTCTGCGGTAAACGGCGATTACTCGCCAGGAAATCTTGTCTAATATAGAAAAAGTATACAACTCTTGATCGTCTATGTAGTAAATTGCTTCTTCTAACACCTTGTGTTGACAGAATTCAGTTTTGTGGGTCCTTGACACTGAAAAATTGGTTGACAGTAACACGTTTATCCGTCTGTGTGGTCAACGCTAGCACCTAAGACTTCAGACGACTTTCTTTTCGATCGGTTTGGATAAACTGAAGACCTTGTGAGTTTGAAACGGGTATTTTGAATTTTTTGGTGGTAGTTGACCCGAAGCGTATTTTCAAAATTTTCTTAAAAATGGCTCCAATTTTTTATTAAATGTTTTCCTCATTTAATGCAACGAACACTTAGTAGGACTCATTTTCTTGGACTTTTATGAATTTTCGAAATTTGAAAAAGTTACGTATGATGGTAGAATGGATATGCTGTTGTAGCCTTACTATTTACTACTGTTAATGCTAAGTAAATTTAATTTCCCTTTTATATTGCTTGCAATGCTTCCCATAAATAAGAACAATAGAAGTCAGAGTTGTAGGAATATTTCGACACATGGTACTCCCTGTCCCCTCGTGAATTTAATATCCACTTCAGTAAAAGCTCGCGATCGACAATAATACAAGTCTTCCAAAACGTGCTTCTTGCCAATATATCGATTTTCTGACACTTGGAATACGATGTCGGCGTATCGAAATATAAGCGAACGTTCCAGCAAGATTCAGAAGGAAGGTTTTCGAATAAGATGGGTGGTGGCAAAATCGTGGGAATCTATTTTTCAGAGGTCTAAAAAACAAAAACAAGATTTCTCTAATGCCTTAGTCCTTAACTCTGCCTCATCCCTTCATGTCTCACTTCTCCCAACCGTGTCTCTTACGACTCTTCTCTCGTCCATTTCCTCTTGAGACGCTTCCTTGGATATATCGTACCTGTTTCTGTTGCCGCCTTCGTTCAGCTTGCCTCATGCACCCTCCAGTTTTTGCGTCTCCGCTGGCCTGCAAACCGCGTCCCAAAACCACTGCCCCTCCCCCCACCCCGCCCCCGCCCCCGCGGAGAGAGGGCCGCGCCGCTCGCGTGAGCCTCTCGTTTGTCTGCTGGCGATGGTCGCCATATTCTTCCCGGGGCCCACCTGCTAATCGCCCCGCATGCATCACGCCGCCCCCCGCCCCGCCCCCGCAGCCCGCCCGTTTGGCGCAGTTGAATTCTGGAAATCCCTTTCCCCCGGGGCGTTTCTCCACGTCTTTTGCGATTTGATCGATACGATGCTTGCAAGCTCTACTGCTCTCTTTGAGTTGGCTGGTGACTGAAAGCCCACTGCACGGTTGCTGGAATGAAAACCGCGATGTCACCCTTGAATGTTGTTGAGAATGAGTAGATTAATAATAATAATAATAATAATTAATAATAATAATAATAATAATAATAGATAATATTTATTTGGCTACAATTGGCTGATTGCCAGGTGGTAGGCCTGAAATGTAGATTGAAATTATCGCTTTCCTTGCTCCTGATGCTAAGAGTCATTTTGAATATTGTACTTTGCCGATTAATTCCGGCTGTGATTAAGTTTGCAGAGCTGTACAGTCCAGAAATTGAGTCGCATGTCTTTTTTCAAGCGTTCAATGAATCTATTTTACGAAAAAAAGACTAGTACTTGCGGTGGTTTTTCTCATGAAATTCGCCGCCAGTTACATGTTTATTTTAAGAAAACAGTGATATATATGAGTTAGTTTACGTTTGTATTGTATATTTTTTTAAAAAGGCTTAATATGTTTGTAACAAATACTTAACTTCAGCTTCCGGGTGAATGACCCCCATCTCGATGAGGTTTTTGTCCAGTTTCCCTGATCCGTTGAGCAAATGCTGAGATGGCTCCTTGTTTTGGTTCTGGACGTAAATTTAGCTTCACTGTACGCACGTTTTGTTGAACTTTCCTTTTGCTTATAATGGTAAGAGTAGAGGTAAGGGCGACTTGCTATTTTGTTATCAATGCATAAAATCATACTTGCAATTCTTGTACCGATGCAAATAAGTTTAACTCAGAAACGAAAATGACTATGTTTCAAATATTGCTAATCTTGCTATTTTTAAAATTTATTTATTTATATTAAACTTTTACCCGTCTTTTAACTATAAAGTTAAAATGACGGGATATATAAATACTTAACTTACTTTTAACTATAAAGTTAAAATGACGGGATGGGATTCTGGAACTTAAGAAAACGTGCGCAGATAATCTCCCCTCCCCCCCACGTCACATAGTTTTACTGTGTTTTTGACTGAATAAATCTAAATATAAATCAGCGATTACATTATCGGATAATTCTAGGTAAAATGTTAGACATATTTTGGTACTACATTGGGACATAGATACTCACCATTTTTGATATCTCATTATCAAAGGTCTACACGAGAATTGGACTATTCAATGTATGTGTAACGAAATCGTGTAAAGGTTTTGAAATTTTCATTTCAAAATTTGATAGTTCACTCACCTGTTTGTTAATAAAAAGTATATCTGGAAATTCTCACTGAAAGAGATGCTTTGATAGGAATTTTGAACGCCAATTCTGACCGCTGGAAAGGGCAATAAGGATGCAGAGGTGTTTTCAGAGAGGGGTGTTGTCGCGGTCGCCGGGAGAAGGGCGGCGCGGAAGGAAAGCGAGGCCGGACACCCACCGCGTTTATTCCCCAATTAGCCGTCGCCCTGCTAATCCTCGCGGTAATCCGCACGTCCGCTGCACGCCCCTCCCCCCCCCACCCCCCGGAGCTTCTATTCTGGCGCCGACGAATCGATCCTCGCCGACCCCACCGCGCCGCGCCGCGCCGCGCCAGCAGCCCTGCTCCGAATCCCCACGCTGCCACTTGGCGCTGCCACGGCCTCGGCGGCACACTTGCAACGAACTTGATTGACTGCATTGTGCCAAACATGGTACCTACTGGATGTCAGTGGGTGATCCTGCCCCATTTTGTTGCTTTACCGCTTTTTATCAAAAACGTCTTTTTACCCGTTGGGGTCTTTTTTTTTTACTTCACTTTCTTGTCTTACTACGCACTGACGTGGTATAGAAAGTATTGTAATGCTGCGTCAAAAATCAGCAATTTTCTGGAGAAAAATATTGTGGAGACCTGGTGTCGAAATAGTTGAAAAATGTTGTTCCTTTACGTAGTAAATTAGTCTGAGGTCAACGCTAGCGCCTAAACCGTTCGGCTGATTTTCTCCAAAATTGATATTCCGTGATCGATGAGAACGAACTTCGAGGAAGTGCATGTTTGAATTGCATATTTTAATTTTGTGGGATATTTTACAAGTAACATTTTCAAAATTTTCTCAAATTCTGACAATCAAATTTGTTCTCGGTTAGCGTAAAAATCTCGTTAAATGGCACTGGTCCCATTTTTTGAAAACCCCGATTTTTCGAAAATTGTGAAATTTTAAAATTTTTTGGGCAACTTCTTACAATAACAATATTAAAGATATAGATTTTTTTTCTCCAGTGAAATCTGTTGTTCAAACACAGCTTTTGAGAGAAGGTCTTGTATTTTTCGAACAGTTTGTCGCGTAAATGTTCTCTATGTATCAAAGCTCGCTAAAATGTGGCCCCTGTCTCAGTTTTAGCAAACTCTAAGTATTTTCAAAATTGTCTAAAATTAAAATGCCAAAATACAATATAGAGTACAAGCTAGAAATGTTTATCTTAAATTAAATGAGTTCTAAATAATCTTATCTTAAAAAACAGTCGTGAACTCTGAATTTTTGCAAAGAGGACAATTAGAAATGAGAGAAAAAGTGTGGTGTTCTATCTCCAATAGTTTTTTATTGTCTGGACGATTGAGGTTAGCTAGGGGTAGTGTTTTTGCTAGTTGGAAACACTTGTTCATGTTTATGTAGTATTATAATATTGCGTAACCTTTACAAATAATGCGAGGAAACATGGAGCTCTGTATCATTTTCCTGGTTTTCTCGTGCTTTTCATTTTCGTATCATCTTTTTCTCTGCTTTTCGTTCTCAAGCCTAACATGACATATTTGTGGTTTTTGAGAAATTAAAGTACTTTCTTTGTCCTTTTTTAAGCTTCTTTTACTGTTATCCCTATGGTTCTCCCAACGGTCTTAGAAAATTTATTCTCTCTTTATTTAAGGTTTTAATTTCATACGCATATACTTTATTTGGCTCTATTATATCGGTTACAATTATTTAGTCTCCAGGCTGTTAATGTCATTTTAATCCGAAAATCGTCCATATCATACCAATATCTACACTATCAAAGCAGAAAACTAATTTTTAATTTAAATATTGTGTGGGATTAGTTCTCAGCGGCAGAGTAATAATATTGAACGTAATGATAGAAAGACTGCGAAGCTTTTGTAGAATACTCTTTAAGTAAAATATGGCAGCGAGTTAAAAAGTGATGCGAGTTTATTTAAATATATCAGAACATAAGGATAAAAGAATAATCGCTTCCTATTTTGTGTTTAAAAGCTGGAGACAGAAATAGCTTGGCATTTGCGGGGGAGAGGGTGTGGTATTTTGAAGCCCTCGTGTAGAGGGCGTGCGCGTGGGAAGCGTTGCGTGAATGTGCTGCGCTGGTGTGTTGCAGGAACCGTCTGGAGAGCAACTCGGAGCACTGGAGCGCGCTGCTGCTGTCGCTGCGGGAGCTCACCGAGTGGGTCATCCGCAAGGACACGGAGCTCACGGGCCTCGGCCCCATCGGCGGGGACGTGGCCGCGCTGCAGAAGCAGCAGGTGAGTGCATCTGCCAAGAGCGTTTGTTCTGTAAGGTTAGTGCACGTTTTATCGCGGTAGATGGCGGTGGTCTTTCCTCGTTAGATGGCGAGATCCGGCGACGACCTACACGTCGGTTCGCTGTTTTCTTCACCCAGGTATCTCCCACCAGCGGGGCATCGCCGCAGCCGGGCCAGCTACTAGCTCCAGACTGGTCTCCCAACATGTGTGGTAGAGTGGTGGTGTATGTCAGTGTGTGTGTGTAAGGGTTGAGGATAGGACAAGGAAGAGGAAGGAAATATCGCGCGAGGTCCTTGGCCCCTTTTGTTCGGGTTCTGCTCCAGCATTCGCCTGGTGTTGATCGGAGAAACCACTAAAAAGTACCGATCAGCCGGCCGCTAGAATTCTCTTCCAGACAACTGGAAGACAGCTGGACTCCAAGATAGTGCATAAAATCCTGTCACTCTCGGGACTCGAACCCTAGGACGTCTCTGTCAGCTGCAATGCAGTTACATCAATCCACCTATGATCCCCTGATCGACATAAGCCGTTGCGTGAGTTTATTCACGTGACACTCATTCCTACTGAACCGAGATGGAAGTCGTGAACGGTGAGGAACATCTAGAGAAATTATTCTCTTTCATTTCACAATCCTGAATCTGGGGCGTTTTTTTATTCCGCTAATTGGTGCATGTTTGCTTGAAAACAGTGCATTTAAATCGCTGGATATGCGTTAAAAGTACACTTCAAATTTTCATTTCAATTCACTCTTTTGTATTTTCACATCTGCTTTTCTACTTCATTGCTATAATTTCTTATAATATTTTCTTTGTAATGACAATATTGTTACAATGTAAATACCTCGTGAAAACTCTCTCGAAACTCTAACTACACCCACTGAAACGACTCTTTGAGGCGTTCGGTTGGGGTTCTGCCCATGTGTCACGCCGGATAATCCATTTCGCAGAGCGATGCAGCCATCCACGAAGCTCACGTGTTTTTGAATCTCTCAAAAAAATCCTCCACTCTCCTGAAAAAAACATCACGCGAGAGAAAAGCTGGATTCAAAATTTTTAGTACGGCAGGTTAACTTTTCATACGTGTCACAAAAGAAAGATTCTGAGTGCTCTTGTCAAGGGTTATGCAGTACTTTGCAGTTTCATGGCACCTTAGGCGACCGCGGGCGCAAAAGCTCTGGTGGGGAGGACTGTCATGCGCGTTGTCAAGCGGCGCGCTGAAAGCGAACTCTTTCGTCAAGCGCCGAGAACTCATTTTGAGTGACTCGTTAATTGATGCCGTCACGAATGGCCACAAACGTCTGATGGCTATACCACACGATTATTATCAAGATGGAACACGACAATGTTGCTTCCTCAGAGAAAGTTGTTAGACGCCCGACGAAAATTAAATTTCAACACGTTTTTAAGTATACATTACATTTAGTGTACTAATAGACACATAACAAACTGCATGCTGGATTGCAGACTTAAAATTAAAATACGATTGTAGACTACAATCACACCTCCAAGCTGGGTTTTAAAGCCAACAACCACACCAAAACAAAGTTCATGTTCATCTCTAACATTTTTCTTTAAAATTAAAATTCTACCCCAACTATTTTACACCTTCGTCAATTTATGTATAGTGCTGAAATGTAAACCTAAGCCAATCTCCAAAAGACCATCGCATCCTACCTTAAATGAAAAATAAAAATATAAAATACTTCTGGTCAGTTTACAAGACCATAAAAGCAATTATTCAAATTACTAAGTAGTAGTACCAGTATTTGAAAGAACTATCGTGCACATTCGTTTACACATTGGCGCGATAGCATCGTATAATCTGGGCGGAACAGGCTTTGAATAGTTTTAAATACATGGACCCTCATCTTCAATGTTGTGTGACTGGAACCTCGTAGAATTTTCATCTTTCTGCCAAACGACAGCTCTGAAAATAACACATGCTATTAACCACCCTAAATTGGAAGAAGTAATAAGAGTTGTACGATCAATATCGTACAATCGTATAATTAAACTGACGTGCCACGGAAGTGATGTTACATGCTCGCGTCTTTTGTTGCGCTGTGTTACGCGGTGTTCCTTACACCCCGAAAGAGGTCACTGCGATCCGTAGCCTCGTGGCGTCGCCCCTCCCCCTCCCGCCCCCATCCCCTCCCCTGCCGCCGCCCGCATCCTGAAGGGCGGCTTGCGGCCGGGACGGCCACCTTTCGTTTTGTGCGCAACATTCTCTCTCTGCGCGTGCGCAGCGGGGACAAAGGTGAGAGCCCGTCCGCCCGCGGGGGCGGGGGGCCACGAAAGGAGACCTAGGCTACGCCGCCGCCGCCGCCGAAAAACTTGGCGTTAACTCGGCCGTGGAAGTGAGCCGGGAAGCAGGGGGTGGCGGGGAGGCCGGCGCTACGCCTTCCGTGTTCTTCCTCTTCGCCTCGCCCTCATCGCGGGGATTTAGTGCGCCAAATTAATTCATCCCGGCGCCCAAGTTCTCTTCCTCTCCGCGCCCGCCACGGCTCTTCCGCCGCCGCCCCGCGGTTGCGTTGAAGGCGACGGGGCGGCGAGCGAGGCAGGAGGCGCGGCTCTGGGCCTGGGAGGAGAGGGGCGAGCTCCGGTTGTCGCGATGCGCTCACGTCATTGCAACACACTCGGATTCGGAGACAACGGCCGAGTCGGCTCAGAGCCAGGGTTGCCGCTGTCTCTGCAGGGACACCCACCGGGACGACTTAGGGGGGAATTTCGTCTCTAGCTGCGTAGCTAAGACCAATTATCAGCCCCTGCTTGGGCGAGAGTTGTAGCGTTTGGCTGTTCTGATCCGTAACTTTGTGTGTGCGTGTGTGTGTTTTATTAATGCGTGATCATTACCGGAGCAGTTCCGTAACAAAAGGACCAAGGAATGCGCGCGTTCTTTACTTCCTTATGCTGGTCAACCCTGTCCATTACACACGTATATCCAGACCTCCTGTACACTATCTCTCATATCGGGAGCTTGACTGAGGAGGTACCCCGCTCTAGGAGATAGCTGGAGGGAAACAAAAAAGCAATCAGGCGTGTAAGTCAGCACCGGAGCTCAGCACCCAGCAGGAGAGAAAGTCCGCTTCTCACGGGATAATACATTTTCTTAACGGGAATAGTGACCACAGCAATTGACGTGCACAGAAACATCAATCAATATTGAAAAGCGTATAGAAGTCTATAAATTCTTAGAATCTACTTCCACTTCCTTATTGTTAAGTGTAATTAAACGTACCTCCAGTGCACAAACTTGAAAGACTTCTATAGTCGTTTCTCAAGTTTTCATCTCTTCAACTAGAGAAAGGGTTGTTCGAATGTAACGTAATTTAACGTTGAAAATAACCTGGTGTTGGCACCATGACGCATCGTTTCCGAATTATACTCCATGGTACAGTGTATTGCGATGTACTGTGTTTTGCGGGTTGCATGTGAACCTCATGATTACAATTTGTGGTTATCTCCGAAGTTCTATGTTTTTCATCATTAATCTGTATGATGCATGCACGAGGAGTTATTCACTAACCGTAATTCATAGACTTAAGGAGTTTTCTGTCCATGGTTTCTTATAAAAGGGAATAGTCTCTCATCTTTACTTAGTATGTAGAGGGAATAATATAATAATGATAATGATGATTATAATAATAATAATAATAATAATAATAATAATAATAATAATAATAATAATAAGTATAAATATAATAACAACAGTTATTCAAAACACGATTCGATTTTTGTTTGTCTCTTAATTTTATAAAATGTAATAATTTGGAACCTAAAACACTTTTAATCGGAAATTAGGTGTTTTATATTTATAATTTGTTTTTCATTTTTATCTAACCAGATAGATCATAGTATTTCTTCCACATGAATGTGAATAAATGTGTGTAAATTAAGAAAAGGCAAATTTACAGAAGTGCCCAGGAGTACACTTGACCCATGGACCCTAGGCAGCGTACTAGATTAACTGAGTTTAATTTGCTTAACTGATTAATTTGCTTGTTGCTCCCGTGGATAATACGAGCAATTTCCCCTTCTTCGAAACGTGGGTTGCGAGTGCAAGTGTCGAGTGTTTCGTAAGTCGTCGGAATAATCGAGAGGCGCTGAGGTCGAGAGCGTAGGATGGGATGGGGGCGGGCCACATGCGCGGGCCGACTTGAGGTCTTGAGAGGGCCCTTTCTGTGATCCCCTCGCCCTGCCCCCCGCCGCCGCCCCGCGCCGCCGCCGCGCGCTTCGCTTTACGAGGGGCTTCGCTGCCGTGTTAAATACCCATTCGTTCCCGCGGGCCGTCGCGGGGGCGGAGGGGCGCGCGGACAATGGGCGCCGGGGCGAGAGTTGGCCGGGCGAGGCGGAGCGGAGCGGGGCGGAGTGGTGTGGGACGGAGCGGTGCCGGGCGGGGAAGGCGGGGCTTTGGGCGAAGTTTCCAGATGAACGCGGCCTCGTCCCTCTGGGCGCCCACTCACCCGCCCTTTCTGTCTTCTCAGCGGTCCCTGCACGTCCATTGCGACTGCCCGTCGCCACGCATCCCTACTGCCGTTTTCGTTTAACTCATTAGTTGCCTCAAGGATTCTCAATTTCAGCACACTGTTCCCTTGTCACCATTAACAACTGATCAATGCAAGTTGCTCCCCCTTTTCCTTTACTGAACTTTCTGTGTGTCATTCAGCTTCAGCTTCTGTCTTTCATTATTTTCTACTCTCAACTTCTAATATTTTTAATATTTTGTTCATTTGCTCCAGACATTTCATCCACTCTTGATGTTGCTGACGTCTCTGTTCATTGTGATTCATCTGCTTGTCAGGGCGTTCGTCTACCTTTCGTGCCAATATAGTCACGTCTTTCTCTTGTGTTCAATGTCCGGCTTAGGTGGCTCAGGGTATCAACTGATGTGACTAGAGTGCCTCTGACTGGGAGGTCAGAAGGTTCCAGTCCTGACTAGGCCGAATTCAGTCGCTTTGTGGAAGGGAATTCTTGCGTCTGGCAGCTCAGATCGGAAATTTT